GCTATTTTGACAAAAAATATTAAAATATCAATATTAACAAGACTAGGACCAGGTGTGTGCTTAGCCTTAATAAAAAGAGAAACAAAATTAATTAGAAAAAAAAAAGGAAATTAAAGAATATCAATATTAATTTCAAGTAATAAATTAGAGAAATCTAATAGTACACTCAATAAGGACAATAGTGCTTAGCGTTATTTCTAATCAACAGTGCACACTATTTTGACACCCTGTGCTTTGCTATGACAATATAGTGAGGGGTGCACCTCCTCGTGTTAGGGGCAATAGCCTCCTGTTCTATTGCCCATCATTAGCATATATGGCCACACTCCAGCAGCTTATTCATGAGATGAGAATCAACAAATAAAGGAACTCGTGGATTCTCCTCAAGATTGCAGGCCCTATGCTTGCTATTAAAGTTTTGTCCTCTACCCTATAATCCATGCATGATTAAATAAGCTATCACAGTATGCCACATTATTACAAAATAGGGATAAGACTAACATTTTTCCATATCTAAGGGGGACTAAATGTTTGAAGGGTCAAATTAATGAGACCACTTTGAAGGTTGTGACCTCAAGGACTATCTCAAGACTTAAGTCCTACCATCTAACAACTCATCATTTGAGCAGAAAGACAATGGGATAAAAAAGTGACCAAATAAACATAAAGGATTGCCATTTCAAAATCCTTTAAGATGTATACATGATGTTAAGTTGCAGGAAAAACACAGTCCATCTAACTAGTTGGTCAATCAATGTAACTCTAACTCTAGTCATAAGATATAAGTGAGTATATCCTTAAGATAAGTCCAACAAAAAATTTTGCAGCTTCTAGATGACAGAAAAAATGCATAGCTATGCTTCTAAATGAACTAGTAACTATATTAAGACTTAGGATTCATTTATCATGCCATCATTTCGTGGTACCAATAGTTTCAAAATATTTATTGTTCAATTTTGGTTTAAGTAATTTTCTTTTTTTACAAATAAATACTACAATATTAAGTAAATATTACCTACAAACTTTGATTTTCAATCAACTTTAAGACTAAATAAAATTCTAGGTATAAAATTGAGAGATTTTAATTAGAATAATCTTATAAACGAAAATTGTAATAAACAATCATTAGTATTTGCATAAGCATATTACATACAGATGATCTTTTTATAACCAATTCCCATATGGGTTGGTTCATGAAATGGGTATGACTGATGGCATAACCAAGAATCAAATCCTAGCTATGCTACTTTCATCAAATGCTCAAAAAAATTCTGCATACTGTTAGTGAGTCAATTTCAGCAAAAAATGGGTCGCGCAATAACATTTTGATAAAATTTAAGCCCAAAACTATCAGAATTTTTATCACTCCTCTAAAGTAAAATTAAAAAAGAAAGCACTTGTTGGATAGAAACCAATCTTAAACTGATCCAAATGAATATTACTGAATTCTTCTGATAGAGAGAGATAAAAATCAAGCCAATTATATTCCAGTCACACCAGCCTTCGTTGATCTAGTGAGTACATTCACCTTTCCCTTCCCATTATGCTGGAAAAGTTATGCCCCCTAACAAATCATCCAAAAAGAATTTGGTAGACCGGTCCATTGGACTAGTTTAGCAAGTCCATACATGCCGGCTTGCGGAGACAGCAGCAGAAGTCATCCGCCTCCCCTGCGTGCTACTCAAATTGTGGGCTCCAGTGGTCAGAATAGGAAGGTTTTTGTAGGGATGTAAAAGGGAAATTTGATAGTAGGGACTGTTTATAGATTTCTTTTTGGATTGTATGAATTAAATAGTTTGTTTTCCTAGGGTTACGGCATCTTGATTTTGGCTAAAATTTGATATCTCTCTATGGTTTTGTTTGGGCTCTAGCGGCATCTAGAGAATTGAGAGAGATAGATCCTCCTCTCGATAGAGAATCAATTGTATCATGACATTTTCCATTTCCCTTTCATCAAATAGTACAAATTATCTACTACTTTCCTGATTTTGTGTGAATTTTTGTGGAGAATTCTCGCTGTTTTCCGAAGATTGACAGGAATTACTTGAGATCTAGAAGTTTTTCTATCAAATTGGTATCAGAGAAACTTTCCGGACTGTTTTTGGGGCTATTTTTGTGAATATCCGCGACATAATTTTGTCTGAAAAAAGAGTTTTTTACTGCTTTTTGGGTCGAGATACATATTTTTGAGGCTAACAAAAATTTGGATATCGATAGAGACCAAACTAGTGGATGCTTCGGAAGAACGTCTTGAAAGGGAGATTAGACAGTTGAAATTGAAATTTCATATCTCCAAACTCACTTTTAGAGGTCAAAAGTCAAATTTTAGCCATCCATAAGAAGATGGATGGAAATATTTCCATCCTGGGAGAGATGTTGAAGAAGTTGCTCGAGCGTCAATCCAAAACGGTGTAATTAGAAGGAAAGTCTCCGGCAACCAACGAAGCAGAAAAACTCTAATCCAATAAGGCAATGAGAAGATCAGAAGGTGGAGATTCGAAAAGGATAAGAGATAATTACCTCCCCTAGATCCTATTTCTAGGGAGGGGCCGGGAAGAGGGTATTGGGAGAGGCGGGAAGAGACAGGGCAAGAACGAAAGGGTGCAGAATTGGAGAGGAGAGCGGCGGGATTTGAAAGGGAAATGGGTGGTAATTATGACCAAAGAGGAGCTGAATTTAAAAGGGAAGGGGTTTGCTATGATCCAAGGGGTGTTGAATTTGAACAGAGAATGTGAAAATTTGATGAAAGGTTTGGGTATGAACGTAGAAGGGATGATTAGGACACATGGGGGAACCACCCCTTGGAGAATGGGAAATTATGAAGGGGGTAAAGGGAACAAAGGTTATCTGAGGGTGAGGGAGCTGAAGATGTCTATTTTTGAGAAAGAGGATGCCCATGGTGGATCTACAAGGTAGAAATGTACTTTACCGTCAATAGGCTGACAGACGGGAAGAGACTAACGGAAGCCAAGATGTGCTTGGAAGGGAAAGCTTAAGCATGGTACTAGTTGAGGGATACGAGGAAACCGATACGGACCCGGAGGGAGTTTAAGAATCACTTGTTGAAACGTTTCCAAACTAGCAAGGGAGGGACTTCTATGAGCAGTTCGCTCTGATACAAGAGGGGACAGTGGTGGAGTACAGTGAGCAATTTGAGTACCTGGTCAGTCGACGAGACCGACTTCTAGAGACTGTACTCGAGGGGAACTTTATGAAGGGACTGAAACTAGAGCTCCGAGCAGCGCTTAAAGTGATGAGGCCTTGTGACTTGGGAAAGGCTATGGAGCTAGCTCAGTTGGTAGAGGATCAAAGGCACCTGGAGAGAGAGACGGGAGGAAGCACCTCAGGAGACTCGTATAGGATGACCAATACCTTTTTGGCATCCAAGGAGCCAACACCGAATACTCTTCGTGAGACTTTGAAGGAGAAGATTATAAGAGGAAGGCCTAGGGACAACTTCAAGAAGCTCACAGAAATGGAATTACAGGAAAAGAGAGCGAAGGGGCTCTGTTTCAGATGTGACGAGAGCTATACATTGGGGCACAAGTGTAATGACCGAATTCTTTAGATTCTCACCGTTTGTGATGACAAGAAAATTGAGGAGAGTATCATCTTTTTACGTTGGGGACAAGGTGTGTCTTTAGGAGGTGGGTATTGTTAGACCGGTCAATTGGACCAGCTCGCGGAGATAGAGGCAGAACTAGTCCGCCTCCCTTGCATGCCGCTCAAACCGCGGGCTCCAGTAGTCGGAATAGGAAAGTTTTAGGAGGGATGTAAAAGGGAAATTTGAATGCAGTGACTATTTAGATATTTCATTTTGGATTGTATGCATTAAATAATTTGTTTTCCTAGGGTAAGGGCATCTTGAATTTGACTGAAATTTTATCTCTCTTAGGTTTTGTTTGGGCTCTAGTAGCGTCTAAAGAATTGGGAGAGATAGATCCTCCTCTCGAATAAAGGATCAATTGTATCTTGATAATTTTCGTTTCCCATTCATTAAATAATACAAATTATCTACTGTTTTTCTGGTTGTGTGTGGTTTTTGTGGAGAATTCTCACTGTTTTTCAAAGATTGATAGGAATTATATGAGATCTATAAGTGTTTCCTATCAGAATTCTTCCATGGGATCCATGCCACAAGAATTGGAGATGAATCAAATATCATTTCAAACCGTCAAAAAATCCTTAGCATGCTTCATTTCATTTAAAGGGGGCATTATCATGTACGAGTGAAATAAAGTAAAGTCTATTGTGAAAGCATCCCTATCATAGCCTTCATTTTCAAAGGTTCCATTTCGAAACTCCTGTGGTGCTCTACAAGGCTCCAAAAATTTTCAAACTACCCTCCAAATGTGCATTTAAGAGGATTATTTTGGTGAGAATACAATTTAGCTCTCTTGAAGACCATTGTCAAATAGCAGAGATGCTCCAATTAGTTGTGAATGAGATCATAGAAAATTTCAGTAATTAACATTTCATAAAAATGCATCATTATCATTGATTACAATCTAGGGTTCATCCATAAATGAAAACATATCATAACTTTATGTATTGCCAATCATAATAGAGAAAATACATGTGGATGATGATGACCCACACAGCTCAACTTAGAGGAAAGCAAGTGCAAGCTGGTCTGCAAGAGCAAGCAAGCCTATGTGGGTGTTGTGGCTTGAGTCCAAGCTGAGTCCATATTTCTGATTTATCCTTTTTTTTTTTCCTTTCGTTCCTCTTTTTCGTTTACTTTCTAAACTTTTTTAATTTTTTTCTTTGTTTTCCTTATTTTGGAATTGTTCAACAATGAATTATTCTATAATTTAGTAGCAGCAGAGCAACTAGTTATTCTCTTAAAATTCCAACAGGTCTTCCGCAACTTTTTAAATTTGAGTAAGGGGATTTAATTGCCCACCCTCATGCATGATTGACTCTTCAATTGCTTGTAACTTGCTATTAAATTCTTATAATTCATGAAAGCAGTAACAACTAATTTAAATGGAGATTACTTTACAAATGAGTTCCCCCTGAAATCCACCGGCTATAAGCAGCTTGTCCTTCACAGCTAGCGTACTGACTTGAGTCTGAGAGAACCCTTCCAATAAACTTCCGGGGTGTTTCTGCAACCCAAAAATATATGTATATATAAATATATATTAACTTGGAAGATGTCCATAAATGAGTAGAAACTCTTTATCTTAAGTGACCTTAATCAAACAAAATGACCATACCAAAAAGATAAGCAAAACATAACTCGATAAATAAATACAACACATACTTCACATGGCGCTACATGTCCTGCAACATCCATAACTACATTTTTTTCCCGAGTTAATGCAGACCAATGGATCACAGAAAAGTGTGACATGAGATATACATCATGCTTTGATGAAGCCCATACCAAATTCCTCAGCTGCAAATACATGAATCTTTGTTAAGTTTAATAATATTGCCATAGAAACATCAACAAAAGTAATTTAAAGCCCGACAAAGAAACCATACAGGCAAGCTTAAATCTTTCCTTGCACTACACAAAATAGTATCAAGTGCAAAGTAACACGACACAAAAAAGTATCAAGTGCAAAGTAACACGATTGCAGGCGAAATAGAATTTCAAAGGGACAAATAAAGAAATGTGTAGGTATGATAATTTTTATAATAAAGCAAAAGATAGCATTTGCTATAAAAATAACAAAATCAATTTTTCCAGTAATGCCCGTTGAGTACAAACTCAAAAGTTGCATTGAGTTTAACGCCCTTAAAACACTTGCTTCCAGCACAAGCTCAAATTCATATGTGTCGAGTAGAAGATAAAAACTGTCTCTGAAAAAAAATATAAAATGGGAGAAAAATTACATAACTTGACAACAGAGAAACAAGCACGCACGACACAAAAGATGTCTATAAGACTTTCAGAATTAGATTGCCATTTTTAAAAAGAAGAAATCAGAAATTTCAGCCAGACTATGACAAAACTATGCCAATAAATATATGGTGAAATCAAATGCTGAAATCTCCAACATCTATACTATCCATACCATTTCTGGTGTATTTATGCAAGCTATTTTGCCCTTTGTTTTACACTTGGAATTACTAATTCCTATACATTGCATTTATCAGGCATACTTCAGCAATGCCTTAAGAAAATATCATAACCAAAAGAATATAAAAGTCAAAGATTGAAAACCTAGTCAGAAAGTACATAATATGATTTGGAGCAACAAAAGAATATTAAAGTCCCAGAAAGGACATAATCTGATTTGGAGCAACGAAAGAATATTGAAGTCAGGATTTGGTGTCTAAGTAGAACATCTTCACTCACCTGAAAATGATGGATAGTTGATTTAACAGATCTACTATTGCAGCTAAACTCGTAATAATTGCCACCTTTTTCAGTTGCTTTACATCCCTATACCAAATGAATAAAAAATTTAACTAAACGCATGGATATATAATTCAACAAAATTATAACTGTGACTAAAAAAAACCTTTTCTGATGCTTCTCCGGAATTAGGAATGTTCTCATAGTTCTTGTATTGTTCTAGTCTAGTTTGTCTGTATTGATCCCTTGTTATGTTTAGCCCATCCCAAGGTATTCCTTGAATATCCTTTCCCCTTCTTGCTTGTGCTGCAGTAGTATCTGTTATCCTGCCATTCTGCATGAGACAAGGTCGTAGTAAACTGCCATAATGTTTATGAAATGTAAGTTGCATGTGGAGTAGAGAAAGATAGTACAGTACTCCAGTAAAAACATATAAATAAAGTCGATGCTCAGCCTCCAGGAAATATACAACAGCAAAAATCTGAAAACTGAAAATTAAAAGAAACTAACACCTATGGTGAATAAAGCATAAAGGGCATAAAATAAAACGAAATAAAAAGATAAACAAACTGATTCTAGTAAAGTTGTAAACACAAAAAATGGAATATGAACATACAGATAGCTCGAACTCTTCATCATCTGAATCTGAATACTCCCCTCTTCTTCCATGGTAATCATCATCCCCTTCATCATCCATATCACCCATTTCACCAATATTATATTCATCGACCACTTCATCAACATCACTCCCTTGATGTGACATCTCAGCAGTAATACTACCTCTGTATATAAATATCTAAAAATATGAGCACAAATAGAAATGATGACTAAAATCATCTTTAATTCCAATAAACAATACATATGATGAAGCAATGATTTAAGAAAATAAAGGGTGAGTAAGACGCCACATCAAAATTTGAGATTAAACCATGACACATATCTCAAAGCATTTTTCATATATTCTGTTACCTTCCCTACTGGCATGAGTATCTTTACCTACCAACTGCTCATGATGCTATAAACCAATGGAAGATGTGCCAGACAATAGGAAAGTAGAAAGCAAAAGGGGGTTGCAGCAAGATGTTTCCATCTGGTATTCAAGGCGCAACTTTAAAATAATAAGCAATTATAGAGATCTATAGAGATCAACAAGAGCAATTTTTTTTCTTTCCATATCTAGACCCATCCTGCATTTTCCTTCTATATTTCAATAGGTGCAGGACTAAATGAGCCTACAAATTATCAATCTGCATGCAAAATATAGACCACTAACCATAACAAATATCAGGCAATAAACAAAACATATAACAGGAAAGAAGAAAGTTGAAAGGACTGCAACAAGATATTGCAAACTGGTATCAAGATGCAACTTAGAAATAGTAAACAACAATATAGATATGGGCCAAGATCAACTGTTATGTTTCCATGTGTACCATATAGACCCATGTTGCATTTTCCTTCAATATTTCAATAGGCTGCAGCAGAATATAACCTAATTCAATCCAGCCGTGGAGCACATGAATAGCCATTATTTTATGCACCAACTCCCCCCTCCCTCCCAAAGTCTTGATCGCAGTTATGCCATAATGTCCTCTTCAATTCTTGCCACCGCACCTCTCCCTCTCTTACTATCTTGGCCAGTGCTAGCTTGATTACATACATTATCTTATGCCACAATGAGAAGAAAAAACTCCCTTTTGGAACTAAGCAAAACTACAAACAAGGAGAGAACATTTCAAAATGGGGCGCTCTCAATTTTCTTGAATTTCTATTAATTTAGTAGGAAACACTACTTTCTATTTAAAAAGAGGCAAGTCACATCTAATAATATGTATAATATACACACACAATCTAGATTTTCAAAACCTAACATAAAAAGGAGGACTCCATATCAAAATGAACCTCTCAAATTTTTTATTTGTTTAATGGTAGAATGAGTTTTCAATTTACAAAAAGAAATTTTACTTGATATGCCTCACACTAGCTGCAATTGGATAAATATGTCCGTCATTTTGTTATTTGGAGAAATATTCCCAAGAGTTCATTTTAGACTTAAATGCACTTCCTATACCTATAATCTACAATGTGTAAAAGTACGTAATGCTATAGAAATACAAAATGCAAATGATGGTAGCTCCATAGATTCTCTAATATTAAAGTAGCCATTGGAGATTACAACCCACATTATGATTTACCTGAAATTAGTAAATGAGTAAGATCTTTTGATTCTTCATATACTTAAAGGTGAAATCAGTAATTCAAGATATGGAGAAATATGAAAAACTCCTATATAGAACATCTCAAATTCAATGGTTGCTACTATAATTACCTCATATTCTAGTTTGTATCATCACCATTTGTATTGTAATAAAAAGCCGCCTCATGCTACAAATGAGAAAATTTTAAAATTATCATATGATATATAATCTCATGAATTATTATTCTAGCATACATTTCATGAGAATACTCCTTGTATTTCTTGTTTTTCAGCTAAAAAGTCCACTTTTTGAGACTTTAATTAAAAGTGGGGATGGATACTTTTATCGTTAGTTCACAATTGCAAAATGGAAATGCCCATGAATTTGTTCTAGTTTATAATAATAAAATAATTAGGCAATGGGTAAAAAATTCATTGGTTAAATAGTAACTTGGCAAATCACATTCATAGCTAAGGAACTTAATGATCATGCATTGATAAAGAGCGTAGGGGTGTAGAGATACCTCAAAGTTATCCTAGAAATAGCCATCACTCATTAATCAAGCAGTATTTCATCGAACATGAATGGAGCTAAGATAATTTTCTAGTAAGTACCATGGAGCTCACATGGGGAAATCACTAGAAAGATTGAGCGTATACCCCTCCCCAAATCTCACATTGGCCAAATATCCTACTAGACAAGTAATAGTAAATAAGGTACAAAATGTATTTTTACAAGATAAGGATTTTTGGTACCATTGACTTGCTTAGATAGAAAGTGAAATGTTTGGTGTCCACTTATACAAATATGAGTTATAGAGTTGGCTGAAAACAATATACAAATTATAGTACGAGAAGAAAAGACTGAAGTTTGATCCTCACAAGCTCATTTATTTCAACATATGGACCCAGCACAAAGTTGTCATATTTGATTCATGCATGCAAAATCCAAATGCTTTGCACGTGAGGGGGCTTGCTAGGATAGAAAGTTAATTCTTTAGGTGAAACCTACAGGTTCGAATTTTTAGGTCGGCTGTTCAGTTGTGTATATGATAGAAGTAGCTATGCACAATATTTGGGAAATTTCTTCAAGAAGCACAAGTTAAGAAAAGCCTGAGATGGCTTACTAATCCCCTAAAATGGTAAGTTTGATAAAATAAGATCACATTTAAAATTGCCCAGCAGTCCAGGTGAACAAATGAAAGAAAACCTTTGCAAGGTTCCTACTAATATTTAACATATTATTGTAATGAAAGCTCTTAACTCCATGGCTTACTGTGAAGATGATTAGCATACACTTGAGGTGCATTTAACAGTTGAACAATGAAAACTCTTGCTACCACTTCATAGATTTATAGAATAGGTGTATACTTCTTATGACAACACATTAAAGTTAGTACCACGAAGCAGAAATAATTATACTAATGAAAGAGCAATTTCATTAATAATATCCTCCCAATGCCACCAATTTTTCATAAGATGACCCACCATGCGTTCGTACATACTTATTGAACATTTTATGAATCCAGTATTACTTATATGCATATTTGACTAATGTGATACTTGTGTATGCCATAGTTTAAAATTGCGCAATTAGACCCCTAGGTGCCTTATTGCTTAAGCAATTCTGAGACCAGGAGAGGTGTACGCCTCATAGAACCTGAGGCGCGCCTCAGAGGCGCATTGCGCAATAACAGGGGAGGCATACGCCTCAAGCAAACGGGTCCCACTCACTTAAGTGCCTAATCAAATACCCTATTCATTCCTCCCTAGCGTCCCTTGGCCGACCTAAACCGCACGAAGCCGCAAAGCCCCGCATGAAGCAGCAAAGCCCCGCACAACCCCGCCCTAGCGTCCCTCGGCCGACCTTCCCGCCGGCGCCGCCTCACACCGGTGAGCAACAAGTGTCCGGCCGCCCTCTACAACACCTCTACTACCGGTTTTAGGTTTTTTTTTAAATTCAATATTTGATTTTTCAATTATTGTCAAACGCTTTCCAGGTTAGCTTATTCTTGCAAAGTAATCGTACATGCATAACACTTTAATATGTTCTTATTGTCGTTTGTCTTTTTGAAAATAGTTGAATGGTGGATCCAATTTAGTGATTTAACCCCTGAGTTACAAAGTTTTGCATTTAGAGTTTTGTGCCTCACTTGTTCTTCATCTGGGTGTGAGCGAAACTGGAGCACATATAATCAAGTGCAAACGAAGAGAAGAAATCGACTTTCAACACTTAGAATGAACTCCCTTGTGTATATTATGCACAACAAGAAGTTGAAAGATAAGAGGTTGAGGACTAAGGGGTTGAAGAATGATGAGAACCCTTTGGTGTGTGATGATATGGTGTCTGATAATAAGTGGTTCATAAATGATGAGACATATTTTCCATTATCAAACATGCAGCTAGAGGATATAAGTGTGGATGTCTTGAGGAGTGAAGCAGATTAAGCAGGTACATCCACTAGTACCACACCACACACATCCACTAGTACTGCAGCACAACAAGTAACCAAATATATCTCACAATTTCTTATGTGCTATTACATTTAAAATATATGCAATTAATAGTACACTAATCATTCTTATTCAACAAGGAAGAGAAAAGTGGGTAAGATTGAAGATGATGAAGATTTGACATTCATAGATACAATTGGAGATGAAAATGCTCAACTGAAGACCCATTTAGTGATGGGACATGATTGGATTTTAGATGTTCTTTCTTATTTGTACTTTGGGAGTTCTGATAGACTTTAATTTGTAGTTGTGTACTTTGAATTATGCTATAAGATGCATATATTGCATCTATTTTATTATTTTCCACTAAGTTCACTTCTCGTTTAGATGTTTTTATTATATTATAGACTCTTACTATTATTTACCTGCTAGAATACTTAAATTCGCATTTACGCAATTCTTCGTCCACGAGGCTTACGCCTCAAACCACCTCGAGGCTTACACCTCGCCTCATAGACGAAAAATGCCTCGAGGCTTATTTACGCAATTTTAAACCTTAGTGTATGCATATAACAGTGTAATTACAACAATTTTGCTCTTTAAACAATCATACATATGATCCATCATTAAATATACAAAAAAGTCAGTAAAATAACATACAATCCAATGAACTATGGTACAAAACAATTGTCGTAGGCCTGTAAAATTGAGCTTTCAAGATTTGTCAAATGTTATTTAGTGAATATTTTTTTACATTGTGCCGCACACTAAATGTATTTTTAAGCATGCTTTTATGAATTTTAACAAATATTGCATTGCAAAGATGGAAACTTACATGAGTTTTCTCTCTTATTATTCTCCTCTCACCTCTCTTTAGCCTTTTTTTCCATTTCGTTTTATTCCTTGCCATGACAATCATGAGGCACTATTCACCTCATTACATCAATTCAAGTATTGGATCCTTTAGAGATTATTGATCCTCATAACGAAGGCAATTGTCCACCTACCTTGGAATTTGATGATTCCCCTTTTGGTATTCGTTTTCAAATATTCATTGTATAACATTCAATCAAACAATGTTTTCAACAAGTTCTTACAACTTTCACCATTGAAATTTGATATTTTTTCACATGCATTTCAATGCAAATCCACTGAATTTTGGCAAGTAATTAAAGAGTTTTGTGTTTCTAACAATATTTTACACTATGTATGTAGTAACGTGTATGTTTGTATTGTGATGGTTATTAATCACGTCACCATATGCCTCATATATTACACACATGATGCACCATATACATAGCACACATGATGGTGGAATCAAAGGGCCGTTACTTTACAAATGTCTCTGCATGTCTCTTGATATTTCCTAAAAAATCATATGTGTTTTCCATGAGTCTAGACAAATTTCTACAGAATTATCAGCATGTGTGTCCATATAGTTTACTAGTACTTATATGATTAGCATGACCATGGTGATGAAAACTTAATCTTGTATATTCTGATGCAAATGACATGGCTATTATAGTGTTACATGCCAGACAATGTGTGAGGCATGGTTGATGATTTTATGAATGCAAAGAATGTATGTACATGTGATGGAAAATGTAGGTTATAAATAGCACTATTGGGCAAATCTATAAATTTTCATGCTAGAGGATAAGTTGATTGGCTTTGCTCACAAGGCGTACAGGAGAAGATTTTGGTGCTATGCATTAAGAGTCCAGGTTGTATTATAGATGAATTTTCATTAATTCAATACAATAAGGACACAAAAGTTAGTCAACGGTACTATGGTGATGACAGTAGATATGATGGAAAATGTTACAATGTCAACTAAGATATTATAAGATAATAAGGCAATGTAAAATATGCAAAGTCATACCAATACTTAACTCATATGAAGTATGAAATGTTGTTATAAAATACTTTATATGATCGACAATCATACGTATTTATAAGTTTGTTTTCTTGTGATGCAAGTGTTATTTACTCACAATTACTATAAATGATAAGAAAATGAGTATAATATTTTATAAAAACCCATAGAAGTCATCGCATCCATGATTACAATTTTAATCAATGACAAACTACAAGCATGCATATTGATTCATTTCTGTGCATTGAATTTAACAATAGAGTTTATGTAAACCATTGGGTTTATTGCTCACCCTATTGTATTTGTGTGTTGTTTGGTCTCAGGAAAGGGAAAGAACCTATGTAGAACTTGATCTCTTGTAAGTTGATGATTTAAAGGTACTAGTTTGGATATGTGTATGACCTCTTTTGTTATCAATGTTTACATGAATATTTTGTTGATGTAGCCTGATAGATCAACATGATTATTGTAATCGAAACCTTTTGGATGTAAATTGAACAATTATATAAACGAAATCCTATGTTTCTTAATTCCACAATTATTGTTATTTGATGATTCATTAGTTTTATTGATGTTCTATGCATGATGTAAATGGGCAAGCAATTTTTCTAGATGGATCATGATCTTGTGCAAAACTTATGCATAAAATATATCAATCTAATGTTTAAAGGAAGACTTGCTTGAGGTTCTCCTCAACTTCCAAAACCCAGCTTAAATTTAAATACAAGTATAAGGTTCTAGGGTCACGTGCCCCCTCTCTCCATTTTAATACTTAGGCTCATCTCATCATCTTTGACTCATTAATTCTGTAATAGTTTTGAATGATGCCCACCTAGTTTATGAAGCCAAGAACAAATA